TTAAAAAAAATGTACACATTCATAACCTCTAAATCTAAAACTTGAAAAATACGAATTCCCAATTTTCCTGTATTTTCCTTGTTTATGTTATTTATTGATAATTTAAGTTTTTTTTAATAAAAGCATTAGTTTCTATTTCACTAAGCGTTTAATTAAGTACCTACATTTATGGACAGGAATCACTCTGTATGTCAGGTACAAAAACACTATTACTAGTATTACGATGGGCAGTTTAGGTAACATTTTGTATCCAAGTTGGCTGAATCACAACGGAAGTTGACAAAACTTCAAAGTCATAACTTCTTGTTGCCAGAAATATTTTTTAAAAATCTGTTATAATCCGCCCAAAAAAGCTACCAAATTAAATTTGACTTAATAGAAACGAAAATCTGGTTCCAAATTGTTCCAAATGTTTGTTGCAAGAAAGCAAATTGTTCAACCAAAATTGAATATTTAATAACATGTGTGTAATAAGTACAAAATTACTTTCGGTTTTATTAAGGCTAGAAATAGTCAAAGAAATAATAAATAGTAATAGGCCTATATAAGTAATTTAGCAAAAACTCTATTTTAATTTGGATTAGTAGAGTCAGGGTGTTGTAGTGATTGGGGATGTTATATTATTTAGTATAAATACAACACTACGCTATACACCATAGATCACTTTTGTTTATTTTTAATCACGGAGAAAAATTGTTCTGACTTTATTGTTTTACATTCCCTGGCCATTCCGGTAGACTTGAAGGAGAGGTTGAGCGCAGTTTTTGAATATATATATATATGAATTAATAAATAATTCTAAACGGCTTTTCAACGGCTTATTTCGATACAAAAATATAAAAACAGCTTTAACAGCTTTGACTTTTACAAATGTAACTATAATTTTATCACTTGCCATATTTTTAAAATGATTTTTTCAAAAATTGACTATGATTTCATAGACTTTTCCTACATATAGGATGCCTAATTAATTTTTTTATGGATGAACTAAAAGTGTGTCCAAATTAGCAAGCTTTTGTACCCAACATTTCCGCACTATTATACACGCGTTTTCATGTTCATTACGCGCGCAATAGTTTTTAGTCTTGCAACTCCATTGTTAATACAAAAATTCATTAAAATTTTTTAATAACAAGCTTTTATATAATAAGTAATAATGCATTAATAAACCGGTGATCTCCCCTAAACTTTCTCTAATATTCTTATATAACACTACCAGGGATGGCAACTCGGGATACAGACACTATTTTAAACCATTTTTAATTACTTTTTAAAAATAGAATAGAATCTCGTAGAAAAAAAATTGCACATCAAGTAAACGCCAAACAAAATGTGCATAATAGTGCGGGATATTATTAGTACTTTATAAATTGCTATGTGTTTTTGAAGAATCGGAAATAGCGTAAATCACTACTTCCGGTCAACGGAAATTATTCAAAACTTGAAAGAAGGCAGACAATTGGATATTTTACTAGCATCTGAAATTTTATTTATCTATCTGAAATAGTACTCACGATATAGGCTTTTGAAAAATTCCAAGTAGAAAAAGTTTCAATTCCGGTTATAAATTTAATAACATGTGTGTAATAAGTACAAAATTACTTTCGGTTTACATTGGCTCCTAATGCATCAACTTTTTATTGCATGTCCTGTAGCCTGTGCGAGAGTAAGGCAAGATCATCTGCAAACTCCAGATCTTCTAGTTTCCCCGTGAGTGTCCACTGAATACCTTTTCCAGAACTGGCATAGGCTGTGCGTGTCACCCAGTCGAGAACTACCAAGAAGAGGAGGGGCGACAGCAGACATCCTTGTCTCACACCTGTGTTGACCTGGAACTCTTTAGACAGTTTCCCTGCATGGCTAACTTGGCATGAAAATCCATTGTAAAGTTGCTGGATTATTTCCACTAACTTAGCAGGTACACCGTAGTGTCTCAACAGATTCCATATTGTTTGCCTATCCACACTATCAAAGGCCTTCTCAAAGTCAACAAAGCAGATGTAAAGCGGGGCTTGCCATTCTATCGTCTGTTCTACAATAATTCTAAGAGTGGCTATCTGATCTGTACAAGATCTTTCCTTCCTGAATCCTGCTTGTTCCTCTCTTAGCTTAAGGTCAACCGCCTCTTTCATTCTGTCCAAAATAACTCTGGTAAGGACTTTACTTGGTATGGACAACAAGGTAATGCCCCTCCATTTTCCACACTGAGATAAGTCACCGTTCTTAGGCAACTTCACAAGGAGGCCCCTCTTCCAATCGGTTGGGATCTGACCTGTGTTCCAGACTAGGTTAAGTAATTTATGAAGTCGATTTACTACTTCTTCCCCACCTTGTTTTAATGCCTCTGCTGGGATATTATCTGGTCCTGCTGCCTTGCCACTCTTCAAACTATTTAAGGCGTTGAGAATTTCCTGTCTGGTGATTTCCTCGGTATTGATGTAAAGGGGTTCCCCTGGCTCCAGGTCTGGTGGATCTTGAGGTGCTGGACCGTTTAGTACTTCCTGGAAGTGCTCTCTCCATCGTGCCAATTGTTCCTCAATTGACGTTAGAAGTTTACCATTTTTGCTCCTCACTGGCCTGTTGGTATTGGTTTTCCTCCCACTCAGAGCTCTGGTTGTTGCATAGAGCGTCTTGAGATCTCCCTTACTGGCAGCTGTTTCGGCCTGCTCTGCCATTTCATTTATAAACAATCTCTTGTCATTTCTTAGTTTCCTTTTCACCTCTTTAGCCTTTTCGTTATATCGAGCGGCTGCTGCTTGTTTTTGCTGCCGTGTTTTTGCTTGATTTAGTTCGCTCTTTAGGCTTTTTCTTTCTTCCACCTTCTGCCATGTATCATCTGTGATCCAGGGCTTCCTGTTTGGCGCTCTGCCTCCTAGAGCCTCTTCGCAGGCTTCAATAGTGGCTTGCTTAAATACTTCCCAGGTGTGTGTGTGTCTGTCCGTGTGTAAACACGATAACTTGAGTACCGTTACAGCTAGGTTGATGAAATTTCATATATAAGTATTTTATCAAAATCGTAGATCCGTATCAACTTTTGAGCGATTTCCGATAACCGGAAGTGGTACTTTTCCTATAACTTGAGTACTATTTCAGATAGATTAATTAAATTTCACATGTAAGTATAAGATCTAATTCTCTACCTTCTGTCAAATTTTGAGTAATTTCCGTTTCCCGGAAGTACTAATTTACGCTACTTCCGATTTCTCAAAAAACTAATGTAAATTTTTAAAGTACTAATAATATTGCGCACTATTATGCACTTTTTTATTTGGCGTTCACTTGGTGTGCAATCTTTTTTCTACGAGATTTTATTCTATTTTTAAAACTATAGCCCGAGTTCCCATCCCCTGTTACTTTATATAAGAATATTAGAGAAAGTTTAGGGGAGATCACTCCCGGTTTATTTTTTGCACGATTACAAGTCTTTCTCTATACTTCGTATATACGACAAAGTAAAAAAAGTAAAACGGTAAAGTTCTCTTTTCGAACCTGACGGCCCGTGGGGCTAGTGAAGTAGAGTTCACCTGTTTCTGTGATCTCGACATATGCCCTTGCTTGTTTAGGTACCCATTAGAGCTGTGTGGACTCAGGGACATTCTACTGATTTGAACCGGATTCGAACTGGAGACCATTGAAATAGCGATCCAGCGCATTCCGCTAGGCCACGCCTTCCAATAAAAAGACTAAAAGCATCTCTCATATATACACACACAATTTGTGTTAAGTGAGCGTACAGGTGTATAGTTTTGTTAAAATTTATACCTGTATTTTTGAGATATTTTATATAATCTATTCTGTATTTGGAGGTAGATCATTATTATTTGAAGGCTGAGTTTTAAGACATTATCATATTATGATTTTATCGTGGTGGAGTTCTGTCCAGTTTTTCTTAAAGTTGAGAGAACGCTAAATACAGCAGAAAAGTATTTTAAAATGGTCTGGTTACTCTAGCTCTTTCCCAATCCGACTTGGTTAAGCTGGACTCAACATTAACGCTCCCAACACACAACATTAACGCTCACAACACACGACATTAACGCTCACAACACACAACATTAACGCTCACAACACACGACATTAACGCTCCCAACACAGAACATTAACGCTCACAACACACGACATTAACGCTCACAACACACAACATTAACGCTCACAACACACAACATTAACGCTCACAACATTAACGCTCACAACACACAAAATTAACGCTTACAACATTAACGCTTACAACACACAACATTAACGCTCACAACATTAACGCTCACAAAAGAAAACAATTAACGCTCACAACACACAACATTAACGCTCACAACATTAACGCTCACAACACACGACATTAACGCTCACAACACACGACATTAACGCTCACAACACACAACATTAACGCTCACAACACACAATATTAACGCTCACAAAACACAACATTAAAGTTCACAACATTAACGCTCACAACATTAATGCTCACAACACACAACGTTGACGCTCACAACACACAATATTAACGCTAAAAACACACAACATTAAAGTTTACAACATTAACGCTCGCAACACACAATATTAATTATTAATATTGTGTGATTTTTAATATTATTATTATAGCATTTGCATTTGCATTGTATTTTCCTGATGTTACACAACAGATGAATAATAAGTATTTTCTAATGTATATAAACTGGACGTTTCCTGGCACAAATCGTGTTCGTAAATTTTCGAGTAGCACTGGTTATCTATGTGTGAGTTGAAAGTGTAAAGTTTTTAACAAGCAATACAAAATGTATGTCGTGAATAATGGAAATGATGAGTTTGATGTTGAATTATATTGAGTCTTGGGTTAAAGTATGTTGTTAGCTGGATGAGTTTTGTATCAAAGTAGCATTTGTGACATATTTAGCCAGGTTTGAGGTTGAATTTTGTGTGTATACATTTACACACACACACACACACACACACATATATATATATATATATATATATATATATATATATATATATATATATATATATATATGATTATGTAAGTATGCGTGTGACTACTTGAGTAAATGTCTAAGATGTCTGAAATCACTGGTCCCATCAGAATGTCGCGGGAAGTATTTGGCACCAACTGAGGTACGCCTGCGAAGAACCGGGATATTACGTTCCTCTTGTCGAAACAGCAAGACTAGAGAGAAGAAAGGAAATGATAACAAGAGGTTTATTCTAAAAGTGTGTGTGTGTGATATGAGTGTGAATGGTGAGGTGAATTAGAATTAGGGTGTGAGTGTAAGTGCGAATTAAAGTGTAAGTGTAAGTCTCAGTGTGTGTATAAGTGTGAGTTTCAGTGTGAGTGTGAGTGTAAGTGTATTTGTGAGTGTGAGTGTAAATGTGAGTGTAAGTGTGAGTTTGGGTGTGATTGTGATTTTAAAATAGAGTGTGAGTGTGAGAATGAGTGTGAGTGTGAGAATGAGCGTGAGTGTAAGTGTGAGTGTAAGTGTGGTTGTGATTGTGATTTTAAGCTTGAGTGTGAGTGTAAATAATGAGTGTGAGAATGAGTGTTAGTGTAAGTGTGAGTGTAAGTGTGGTTGTGATTGTGAGTGTGTGAGTGAGTGTGAGTGTAAACGTGAGTGTGAGGGTACGTATTCATTATTATTTTTCCGTCAATGTATATGAAAATTATGTTTTGATTTTTGTTAATATTTATCTCTTGTTTAAAGAAACAAAACATTAAAGAACTAGTTAGGAATAAACCTCTCGCTGGAGAACTTGATTGTAAAATTTATAATTAAGTTATAAAAGTTTTCTTTAGTTAAAATAAATGTTTAAAAGCAAAGTAAAAATAGAACAACTGGACCCCTACCTGAAAAGTAACTAACAATCCAAGGTGTGATTGCCTTTACCAAACACTCCATCGCTGCGTAGATCATCACACCCAACGCATAACCCAACGCAGCATTGAACGGACCGCCTAATTCTTTAATCATTAATTCCATCCCACTATCAGTTATTCTGTAGATAAAATGAATCATCTAGAATCTATTTCAGGCCTTAATTATTTTATATAAATCTTTGTTTGGCTAATTTAAGATAAAATTTAATTTGAAAGTTACTACTACTAGACTTAGATCTAGATCTATGCGCGTAAATCAAGTTGCATAAGGAGACTCAAAGTATAGTATAAAAATTCACTTGTGATGTCACGAGTAAATAGCTAAGTTGGTAGTGTAGCCGGCTCTCATGCGGGTGGCACAGGTTCTAGACCAATATGTCAATGATATTTTTTTTTCAATTTTTTTTTCTAGATGTGAATGATAAAATTGCCTATCTGAACTTGGAAGGATACAGGGCAGGTGAAGTAGAGTTCATCTGTTTCTTTGTCCTAAGCATATGAAAGGATAGTGTGGTCAGAGACATGCTCGGCTGGAATCGTTTTTTAAACGATAAAAACATGTTGTCTGAGACTTGGCGGGACACTGGGCAGGTGAAGTAGAGTTGAGTAGGTCACCTGTGACGTCAGTATATTAAGGGATAGTCCGAAATCGGTGTTTTCTGTGTTTTTAAAAGATAAAAAACATATTTTTGAATGTGGGGTCTGTTTTTTGTGACGATAAGTGACACTGCAGTAGCGTAGCGAGGAGGGGGGGGGCGGCGGGAGGGAGGGGGGAGGCGGGGGGGGGGAAGGGGAGGTGGAAGGGGCAAGGGGGGGCGGGGGGACGACATATGTTGGGGCGCCAAAATGGTTTGGAAAAATAAATTGAAAGGTTGAGGGGGGTGCAAATCGAAAGTTTGAGTGGGGGGGGGGGGGGGGGGGGGTGCACATCAAAAGTTTGAGGGGGGGGGGGGTTGCAAATCGAAATCTTGCGGGGGGGGGTTCAAATCGAAAAGTTTGTCCACGGGCGCCGGGAAGGGTCGCTATGCCTCTGAGTGACAGACGTGATGTTTTTTGATGGATGACCCCCGAAACCCACAGTTATCCAAGGGATGACGGGTAGTCTAGTTATTATTATATTAATGTCCAGTTGGCTTAGCTTGACCAGTTATCCGAGGTTCTAATTTTACTCTCCACTTTTTTACTGTCTGGTCTAACTGGTAGCTAATTCTATCCGTACCATTTTCATAGACACATTTAGAGATATTTTCAACTAAGGCATGTTTTAGGTAGAGCCTAGTGATTGATGCCAAAGTCAATTTCATGGAAGATGAAACAGAGTTAATCAATTTTATTGATCTCAGCCTTAACAAGATCAAGTACGGTGAGTTATATGAGTCAGGTACTCTATAGAGCTGGATGAACTCGGGGTCATCCAACAGACTCAAGTCTGGAGGATCGGGTTAACAGTTGAGGCGTTCTACCGACTACCTCTAAACCAGGTTTCTCATTGATAAGACATGACCGATAGAAAAGTGGCTTTATGACGAGGAATTATTCATACAAATTTAACGTGATAGAGGGTCATCCTCAAATGAAATCACCCGGTTTTGGATAATTCTTCCCTCTTCCCTCCCTGCTGTCACATATCGTCACAAAACTCCAGACCATCCCCCCACCAAACCTATAACTTCACACCTCAACCTACACCATCCCCCCTTCGCAACAAAAAATTATTTCCAAAATATTGACTGAGCTTGGTGTATATTAGTCAGTCTCTTAAAGAATTTCCAAAAACAGCTTCCAAAAACTCGAAAAAAAACTCAGCTAAAATCAACTCTTTACAATATTTTAAAAAAAAATAACAACACTTTCTGATTCCACTCCCTTTCATCACACATCGTCACTAAGATCCACCCCCTCCCTACCCGCCCCCACCCTTAGGTGTTTGACGTCATTTATTTTTGGACGAACCCATAGCCTGTGATAACCTCGTGTGTAAGTTATGACAAAAGAAGACTAGGTTCGGACTGTCTATGTTACGGGTCAGTTGTAGGTTAGACTAGAATAGGATAGAATGATCTAGAATTAGGGGAGAGTGAGTGTGTGAGTTGAGTTTACCCTAGAATATTGTTAACCCCGGTGTGTTTGTGTATTGTTATCCCAAGGTCGAATGCGGTATAAAAGCTGGAGTGAATGGTTGTCAGGGGTTATTTAGTTGGCAGGGTTAGGTCGAGGGCTATGTTGTAATGTGATATGTGAGACCTAATAAACGTATCGAACGTTAACCCGAGTCGTTCTTGAATTCGAATCTAACCCGGACGTAACAGTCTATACGTTTGTACGTGTGTACTTTAGTGCCATGACTTGAAAGAAAATGACCACAAACCTGCATCCATGTTTAAAACTTTGGTCGCCGCTTGCGTTTGGCTCCGGCAAATCTGGGAACAAAAATCTTGGTTTAGTCTTCACCGTAATTATTTTTGTCTCATGTAAAGGTATACACGTTTAAAAAGGGTTTAAAATAAGCGTATGCTTTACACGTTTTCTTACTTTAGAGTTAGACAGTGCGTGTTTTAAGATAATCATTGCAACCCATTACACGGCTATTTAAATAATAACCCGACCTTACCTCCAAACTCTTCTTGATTTTCCGCGTTCTTGGTGTCTTCGCTTGTTTTCTTACATAAGGAATTCCATCCCCCACCAAAGAATACTGTGCAAAAAGATGGGTAGTTAATTTTGCAAAGTCGCAGATAGCTGTACAAGCATTCGTAATTGATTATTTGCTAGATTCTACGTTGAATGCTTTGTTTTAAACTTATTTACGATATGTGTTGAAATTGTCGAAGTTAAAGAACAAATAATGTATAAATCATATATAACAATCATTAATATTGAAAAGAATTTATTTCTTAAATCAATTATAAAAAAAAAAATAAAATCGCGGTACTAATTGTTTAGAATATAATTTCGACTTCAACAAAGTTAGCACAGCCCTAACACTTCTAAGTTAGCACAGCCCTAACAAAGTTAGCACAGCCCTAACAAAGTTAGCACAGCCCTAACAAAATTAGCACAGCCCTAACAAAGTTAGCACAGCCCTAACACTTCTAAGTTAGCACAGCCCTAACAAAGTTAGCACAGCCCTAACAAAGTTAGCACAGCCCTAACAAAGTTAGCACAGCCCTAACAAAGTTAGCACAGCCCTAACAAAGTTAGCACAGCCCTAACAAAGTTAGCACAGCCCTAACAAAGTTAGCACAGCCCTAACAAAGTTAGCACAGCCCTAACAAAGTTAGCACAGCCCTAACAAAGTTAGCACAGCCTAACACTTCTAAGTTAGCACAGCCCTAACACTTCTAAGTTAGCACAGTCCTAACAAAGTTAGCACAGCCCTAACAAAGTTAGCACAGCCTAACACTTCTAAGTTAGCACAGCCCTAACAAAGTTAGCACAGCCCTAACAAAGTTAGCACAGCCCTAACAAAGTTAGCACAGCCCTAACAAAGTTAGCACAGCCCTAACAAAGTTAGCACAGCCTAACACTTCTAAGTTAGCACAGCCCTAACACTTCTAAGTTAGCACAGTCCTAACAAAGTTAGCACAGCCCTAACAAAGTTAGCACAGCCTAACACTTCTAAGTTAGCACAGTCCTAACAAAGTTAGCACAGCCCTAACACTTCTAAGTTAGCACAGCCCTAACAAAGTTAGCACAGCCCTAACAAAGTTAGCACAGCCCTAACACTTCTAAGTTAGCACAGCCCTAATACTTCTAAGTTAGCCCAGCCCTAACAAAGTTAGCACAGCCCTAACAAAGTTAGCCCAACATAGGAAGAAGAATATTAATTGATTTTCTTAAAATATGATAATGCACCATTATTTACATAAATGGCTTGCGTGCGCTAGAATGATAACACAAAAGTCTCACGAGCGTCCCTGGGTCCACCCACTTCTGATGGGTACCTAACTCATGTTAGGGAACGTAAAGTGGGCTGGGCATAGAGCTGACCACACTATCCTTTCATATGCCGTAGTCACTGTAACAGGTGAACTCAACTTCACTTGACTCATGGACCGTCATGTTAAAAAGGGAACACAATTTGTTTTACTGTTAACAGATCGTTCTGTTATAAACTACCTACAACACGATGGTAATTTTAACTACAAAAATAACGTGCCGCTTTTAAAAAAAAATCTACACATTCAAAACCTCTAGATATTAAATCTAAAACTTGAAAAATACAAATTTCCAACTTTCCTGTACATTTTCCTTGTTTATGTTATTTATTGATAATTTAAGTTTTTTTTATAAAAGCATTTGTTTCTATTTCATTAAGCGTTTTAATTAAGTACCTACATTTATGGACAGGAATCACTCTGTATGTCAGGTACAAAAACACTATTACTAATATTACGATGGGCAGTTTAGGTAACATTTTGTATCCAATTTGGCTGAATTACAACGGAAGTTGACAAAATTTCAAAATCATAACTTCTTGTTGCCAGAAATATTTTTTTAAAAATCTGTTCTAATCAGCCCAAAAAGCTACCTTATTAAATTTGACTTAATATTAAATGAAAATCTGTTTCCAAATGGTTCCAAATTTTTGCTGCAAGAAAGCAAACTCTTCAACCAAAATTGAATATTTTATAACATTTTTGTAATAAGTAAAAAATTACTTCCGGTTTTATTAAGGCTAGAAATAGTAAAAGAAATAATAAATACTAATAGGCCTATATTAGTAATTTAGCAATTTATTTTTAATTTGGATTAGTAGAGTCAGGGTGTTGTAGTGATTGGGATTTTATATTATTTAGTATAAATACAACACTTCGCTGTACACCATAGATCACTTTTGTTTATTTTTAATCACGGAGAAAACTTGTTCTGACTTTTATTGTTTTATATTCCCTGGCCATTCCGGTAGACTTGAAGGAGAGGTTGAGCGCAGTTTTTGAATATATATATATATATATATATATATATATATATATATATATATATATATATATATATATATATATATATATATATGAATTAATAAAATAATTCTAAACGACTTTTTAACGACTTATATTCGATGCAAAAATATAAAAATGAGTGTACTCAATGGTTCCTAAACAGCTTTAACTTTTACAAATGTAACTATAATTTTATCACTTGCCATATTTTTAAAACGATTATTTCAAAAATTGACTTTGATTACATAGACTTTTCCTACATATAGGATGCCTAATTAATTTTTTATGAATTAACTAAAATTGTGTCCAAATTGGTAGGCTTTCTTACTCAACTTTTCCGCACTATTATACACGCGTTTTATGTTCATTAGGTGCGCAATAGTTTTTAGTCATGCAACTCCATTTTTAATACAAAAATTCATTAACAACATTTTAATAACAAGCTTTTATATAATAAGTAATAATGCATTAATAAACCGGGAGTGATCTCCCCTAAACTTTCTCTAATATTCTTATATAACACTACCAGGGATGGCAACTCGGGATACAGACAATATTTTAAACCATTTTTAATTACTTTTTAAAAATAGAATAGAATCTCGTTGAAAAAAAGAATTGCACACCAAGTAAACGCATAATAGTGCGGGATATTATTAGTACTTTTATAAATTCACATGTGTTTTTTAAGAATCGGAAATAGCGTACATCACTACTTCTGTTCAACGGAAATTATTCAAAATTTGAAAGAAGGCAGACAATTAAATATTTTACTTCCATCTGAAATTTTATTTATCTATCTGAAATAGTACTCAAGTCATAGGATTTTGAAAAATTCAAAGTAGAAAAAATTCCACTTCCGGTTATCAGAAATCACTCAAAAGTTGATACGCATCTACAAATTTGATATAATACTTATATATGAAATTTCATCAACCTAGCTATAACGGTACTGAAGTTATCGTGTTTACAGACACACAGACATACACACACACACAGACATACGGACAAGATTGCAAAATTATGTTTTTCCGTATCAGTGAGGTGTAAAACGTCGAGATTTGCAAAAATCTCGATTTTGTTTTTGCAAGATTACAATACTTTCTCTATACTTCGTATATAGGCCTACGAGAAAGTAAAAAAAAAAAGCACAACGGCAAAGTTCTCTTTTCGAACCTGACGGCCCGTGGGGCTAGTGAAGTAGAGTTCACCTGTTTCTGTGACCTCGACATATGCCCTAGTTTTTTTAGGTACCCATTAGAGCTGTGTGGACTCAGGGACATTCTACTGATTTGAACCGGATTCGAACTGGAGACCATTGAAATAGCGATCCAGCGCATTCCGCTAGGCCACGCCTTCCAATAAAAAGACTAAAAGCAACTCTCATATATACACACACAATTTGTGTTCAGTGAGCGTACAGGTGAATAGTTGTATTAAAATTTAAACCTGTATTTTTGAGATGTATTATACAATCTATTCTGTATTTGCAGGTAGATCATTATTATTTGAAGGCGGTGTTTTAAGCTTTTATCATGTTTAATATTATGATTTTGTCGTGGTTGAGTTCTGTCAAGTTTTTCTTAAATTTGAGAGAACGCTAAATACAGCAGAAAAGTATTTTATAATGGTCTGGTTACTCTACCTCTTTCCCAATCCGACTTGGTTAAGCTGGGCCCAACATTAACGCTCCCAACACATAATATTAACGCTCAAAACACACAACATTAACGCTCACAACACACAACATTAACGCTCACAACATGAACGCTCACAACACACAACATTAACGCTAACAACACACAACATTAACGCTCACAACACACAACATTAACGCTCACAACACACAATATTAACGCTCACAACACACAACATTAAAGTTCACAACATTAACGCTCACAACACACAACATTATCATTAACGCTCACAACACACAACCTTAACGCTCACAACATTAACGCTCACAACACACAACATCAACGCTCACAACACACAACATTAACGCTCACAACACACAATATTAACGCTCACAACACACAACATTAAAGTTCACAACATTAATACTCACAACAAACAACATTAAGATTCACAACATTAACGCTCACAACACACAACATTAACGCTCACAACACACAACATTAACGCTCACAACACACAAAATTAACGCTCACAACACAAAACATTAACGCTTACAACATTAACGCTTACAACACACAACATTAACGCCCACAACATTAACGCTCACAACACACAACATTAACGCTTACAACATTAACGCTTACAACACACAACATTAACGCTCACAACATTAACGCTCACAACACACAAAATTTACGCTCGCAACACACAACATTAACGCCTACAACATTAACGCTTACAACACACAACATTAACGCTCACAACATTAACGCTCACAACACACCATATTAACGCTCACAACACAGAACATTAACGCTCACAACTTACAAAATTAACGCTCGCAACACACAACATTAACGCTTACAACATTAACGCTTACAACACACAACATTAACGCTTACAAAATTAACGCTTACAACACACAACATTAACGCTCACAACATTAACGCTCACAACACACAAAATTAACGCTCGCAAACACAACATTAACGCTCACAACACACAACATTAACGCTCACAACACACAACATTAACACTCACAACGCACAACATTAAGGTTCACAACATTAACGCTCAAAACATTAACGCTCACAACACACAACATTAAGGTTCACAACATTAACGCTCACAACACACAACGTTAACGCTCCCAACACACAACATTAACGCTCACAACACACAACATTAAGGTTCATAACATTAACGCTCACAACACACAACATTAACGCTCCCAACACACAACATTAACGCTCACAACACAAAACATTAACGCTCACAACACACAACATTAAGGTTCACAACATTAACGCTCACAAAACACAACATTAAGTTTCACAACTTTAACGCTCACAACACACAACATAAATGCTTACAACACACAACATTAACGCTCTCAACACACGACTAGTGGCCACTCAATCAACACGTTCTGTATAAACTATATATATATATATATATATATATATATATATATATATATATATATATATATATATATATATATATATATATATATAAAATACTCATTCCTTAAATTAAACTAAGTAAACCTCGATCGTACTCACTAATGCTCCAGGAAACTCCCTCATACTCAATCATAATCGATCATACTCCATGATACTCCCAATTAAAGACGCAGCACAGCTTTTGTTAAAATATAGCATTTGCATTATATTTTCCTGATGTTACACAACAGATGGATAATCGATATTTTGTAATATAAGTTAGTTTTTCAATTCATTACTTTACAGAAATTTTATACATAGAAAAGCGATGTTACAATTGTAATGGAACTGGACAGTTGCTTGCACATCTCGTGGCTTTAAACTGACGTGCGACCCGCAGTAGTTCCTTAATTGTTGTTACGACAGCCACATAAACTGGACGGTTCCTTGCACAAATCGTTGTCGTATACACTAACTTTCGACCAGCACTGGTTATCTAATGTGTGAGTTGAAACTGTAGATTTTTTAAAAAAGCGATGCAAAATTATGTTGTTTACCCACCGCAAGCATATTTTTTTTACTGAAAATAAAAATAAAAGTATACATACTTTTGTATTATTATTATATATTAAAACTTTTTATATTAGTTTCTTTTTGTATTATTATTACTTATTTCAAAAAGTTCTAATTTAAAAAAAAAATTTAGTGTTTATTTCCTAAGAGCGAATTTTAAAGCAGATTGGTTCGCTAACGTGGAAGGGATAGAATGAGAAAGTCTAAAATTTAGCAAAATATACTATTACAATCTGTTCGACTAAAAAGCATCCACTAGATTGAATGGCTGTCAAGGATTAGAAATAAAAATGCCAAAACCAATTTAGTTCAAGTTAGCCGACGTTTTGATCGTGATACCCCGAATACCCAACGCCATGGTAACACACAGCGTCATACACATGATTGTCGTTTCTTAATCTATATGTAATTATTCTCTACGTGGGGACCATGCGGGATACCACCACGAAGCTCACCCCCCTCGCTGTCCAGGCATGCGGAACAGACCATAATCGCTATCAGTGTGAATGTGAATGTGGTGTAAATGTGGTGAGTGTAAGTGTAAGTGTGAGTGTACGTGTGAATGTGCCTCTGAGTGTGAGTGGGAGTGCGTGTTCGTGTGCGCGTATGTGCGAATTTCAATGTTAAATCAATTTTGAGTTTGAGAGTGAGTGTGGATGTGGATGTGGATGTAGATGTAAGTGTGAATGTGGATGTAGATTTACGTGTGAATGTGAATGTGAGTATGTGTTTGACTGTGCAATCGCGAGTGCAATTATGATTATGATTGTAATTGCTATAGTGATTATTTCAGTGATTTTGATTGCGGTTGCGATTACGGTTGTGGTTGTGATTGTGCTAGTGTTTGCTGTTCTGTT